AATGTGCACATTTACGGAGAGAGATTTTCCAAAAAATACGTTTGTTTAAATTTTGAAAAAACAAAAGATGCTCTTTATGTCATATTAAACAGTGCAATTAGCACTATCAGTTCGAGAAGTTCGAAGAAAACATTTAGAGCGGTTTTTGAGACAATGGGGTTTGAGAGTTTTTGGAAATGCGGAATTTTGAACTAGTTTTCACAGAAAACGGTTGAGTTTTCGAGAAACTTTATTTGACATTATTTAAAGCACACGTACTCATAAATATAATAATGTGAACAAATTGTCGCTAGAATAAATATTAGGGTTTTCTTGAATTAAAAAAAAACAAACAATCCTACGTATGGTTTAGGCGCTAGTAGTGTTCACAGACAGACAAACGGACACACAAACTGCAGACGGATAGACAGACAGACGTTTTGAAAAAAACACTTTTTCGGTATCAGGGAACCTCCAAACGTGTATTTCCGTTGAAATATCGAAATCGATTTTCTGGATATATGTATGCAAATGTTAAAGTAAAAATTGCCTTTCATTAGCTTAATTTGCTTTCCTACATCATTATAACCAGTGTCGGTCGGTGCGGCATTCTATTGGTGGTGCCACTTGGTGATGCGACTTAGATAACAAAATACCAATGTTACCAATTATATATGTTCAAAATTAAAACATCGCTGTTAATAAAACATCGATCAAAACCATCTATGTTTGTAAACATCGATGCGATGTTTTAAAACTGGTTTAGTAATCTCTATAATAAAATTCGTGGGTACAAATTTTATTTTATAGTGACCATGTTTATTTAGTAACAATGAAAATAAAGTGAAAACAAATTAAAAATAAGAACAAATAAAAATAGCCTGAAAGTCTGAACGCCCACAGTAATATCAAAAGGTCACAACTTCCTCAGTTCGCTAATGGATGAGGGAAGAGGGGAAGCCTTACGCTCATGGCGTATGCCTCCTCTTCATGTGCGAAACACAGGGAAAGACGTACGAAATACCAGGGCATCGGGGTCATCCTCAGCGAGAGCGACATTAGAGCACTCTATAGAACAGAACGCGAATTACTGGGCCACTTCACTTTTGGCGCCGTTTCATCTATAAGAGACTCGTACAAACTAACAGCGTCCTTTATACAGCGTTAAATGGACAGAGACTGAGCCAATCCGGAGGAGGCTCAGAGGTTTAGGAGAAAGCCGACAGATAGCACCACGCCCTGTGCGTTTGAAGAGAGTATTGACAGACCATGGAATGAGTAAGCGCTCGTATAAATGAAATACTACAAAGAAAAACTTTTTTAATAAAACGATATTTTATATACGCAGTTGTTGGTAAATTTTTATTTTCCTTCCTTTTTGTTGGCGGTGCCATTGCTCACTCGCACTACCTTACACGCCACCTCTTAGGTAGTGCGCTCACACGCACTACCTAACCCCCAATTTCCCACATGCATATTTCATGGGAAAAGAGGTCAGACTGATAGAATAATTTCTGCACTTTCGGTTATCCAGTATTTCTTGAGTTACGTAAGTAATGTTAAAATTTTCTTAACATGCCTTTACTTCTCGAAGACTTCTTAATTTTTCTCAGGTGTGGATCTTCTATTCAAAATTTTGTTTCTACTCTTCAAAGCCGCAGGAAGAGATTCTCCCTTGAAAGACTTTCGAAAATGGTTACATCTTCCACTGACATTTCTAAGTTGGAGATCCACTTCCATTATCAGACGCAATACCGTGATTTGATTATTTTTGTGTTAAGAGGCAGTTAAGTCCATGATGCGTAAATAAATTCTGAAAAAATTCTTGGAAACGCGCACATTTGAACACATACGGACTTACTTTACTTTAAACATTACAAAATAACTTCAAATTGCTGGCCTTTATCAGAGTGCAATATTTAAGTATGATCACGCCTCAAGGTCAATCAAAATCGAAGGGGCGGGGTCATGAAGCCCAGAGTACTCTCTCCGAAGCAGGGGGTAAATAAATGATATTTTGTTGAAACTATTTGGGGTAGCAGTTCTTACCTTGCATCTATGGGATACACGACCCTGCTCTTGCAGAGCATATTATCGATGCTTGAAATGGAGCCAAATACATTACACGGCATTTTAAAAAAATATTTCGAAGAAGTTTGACAAATCACGTTAGAAGCAGATTCCGTATACCCGCCAAACACCACTACATGGCGGGTTGCATAGCAATTAGGGGCAATTGTGTCGTACAATTTTGTCATGTGAAGCTTCCTTCATTAATTAGCAAATTGGGCTTATCTTTTTACCCCCTCCCTACATAGTATTTTATTTTTATAACATTTATTCTGAGGCATCTGTAATTCTTTTAGACCAAACTATTTCAAATACCTTGGTTTTTTAACTAGATAATAAATTAACCAGAACTTTTGAATGGTTACATACATATTCGTGGAATACTACATAAATTAGTGGAAATGTGCGACGTATCGAAAAGTTGTCTTCCTCATCGTGTTACTACTCAACAAATACAAGTGTCTAGCATCATTTAGACCTGCAATTGAGTTACGTTATGCAGATTCACGCCACAAGAACTGCATTAGAATATAAAAATAAACAACATATAGCTCAATTATCATAGATTGAGGTTCAACTTTTTTTTGTTATATATGTCGGTGAACAGTCGCTTATCTCCTTAGCAGCCAATCATCTAAACAATGCATTAAGAGTGCATCCATAGCAACAGTCGTTAAAATGCTCTAGTCTCAATAAACTACTTTAGCGGACTTTCAGGTTTAGATTTCATTAGTGCTCGGAAATCTTTGGATGAATGTCATTAGCACTAAACAGAATATTTGGGAATAAATGTAAACAAAATTAATTTTTACAATTGTTTTGGTGTAGGTTTAGATATATTAAAATTACAACTTTAGAACATTCCATTGAATGTAATGCCATTTGATTTATCTTTGTAGTATTGCAAGAAATCAATCTTGAAATGTTTGTCCTTTTGTCTCACTTTGCCGGACGTCCACCTTCTTTAATTTGTCCTTCCCCTTTTACAATTTTGTTCCCCTGCCCTCTTCATTCTTTTGGTCCTTCCACGCACTGTGCCTTATTTAAAAATGGTTCCAAGACTCTGTACCAAAAACCCTTGCTACAAAACATAGAGAGTAATGGCAAACCATAACTTATGAAAGTGATAAATTGTATTTTAAATAACTACAAATAACAAAAAGCCTTGTAACACATTCTCTATTAGTCTTTCAGGACTTGTTTCATAAATAACTATTATGTGTAATTCTATAGTCTTAAATTTTTATTCTCTTTCATACTTGTGTTGAAGCATCAGAATCCATGGTTTGTGGGTTCTTGATACCACAAAATTGGTGTACACCAAAACTTCTGGGAATAACACTAAACCATTAAGCCAATTTTCATTAATATTGATATTCCCCAATTGATATGGGGCCAATGTGGCCCTTAGAATTTGTTCAATTTGCTTGACCAAGTCATTTACATCGATTTTAGGGGGGGGGGGGTACATGAAGCCATAACATTTTCAAAATTGTTTGTTTAATTTTTTGATCAATTAGTTTATAATGTTAAGCTTTAATGTACATATTTTGAAAATGCAGCATTAGGAGTAAGTGCATACATTATATTTTTGTATAACAGCATTTAAAATTTCTAAAAGAAACTTAAATTTGCAATGCAACTTTCTTGTGGAGTATCAGGTATTTGACATCTGTGCAAGAAATCAGTGGTCCACTGTTCCTTTTACCTTTACCACCTCACGATTCTACCTTTGCTGACATATGATACAATCATTCTTGCCGTAAAATGCTAATGAGTCATGATTGTGTTGTAAAATGCCTGATGAACGATTTCTTGCAAGAAAAGGATGTTTATAATGGCGGTATACAAAAAAATATCTTATAGGTGCTGATAGGTATCAGCTAGGATGAGGGTGGGTCAAAACCAAAAAGCTATCCCACACTAAAGAAATTAGGAAACAATTTTTGTTAAGCAATGGGAAGGTTGTATTTAGCTTTCAGGCTCGGGGTCGAGGGATAACGTGAATGACGTGCTAACCTTAAGACCCTGAGTTCGAATCCCAGTATAGAAAAAAAAATGTTGCTGGTTGGAAACTGGCAGGTTCATAACTTCAGTAGCCATTACAAATAATGTGAGAACGTACATGCAGTTGCAGCACCACATTTTTTGTTTTATTCATTTTGTAATCAGGCAATGAATGTGGCAAAATATACAAACCATCAAAAGCAATTTTCCAAAATATATCCCAAAACTTTCCACAATGAGCAGGGTCTACAAGTGGGGAAAGCTTTAAATAACCTACAATATAATTAATTCCATGAGTAAAAAAAAAAATTGCTTAGCTAATGATTCTCATGAACATTTTGTCCTCCATCCCCTCTGTTCAATCTTCTAGATTCAGTCAAAAGTCGAGGCAAGATCCCATGGAATATTTCCTAAAAGCACTTTCTTGTCAATCCAGAGGTTTTTAAGTAATCTTATTGGTATCATTGGAAGGATGTTACCTACTCTAATGTACTAGGCAAAATACTTTGAATTGATGAAATAAAAGCAATTACTTTTTGAATTGAATTGAATTTGCCTTATTTTACGTGGCAAGACTCGGGCCATCAGGCCCGCTCTTCCGTCTGACCACGCAAATTTCGCTACGCTCCTTTCACCAACTAGGAGAGAAAGGAGGTATTTCTTGGGTGAGAAACAGGCGATTTGAATTTAGCTCAGAGGCGTCATTTAGGCTTGAGGATCTTTTACATGCAAGTAAATCTACGAACATGGGACAGCCGGCTTTACTTCCCCTCCGAAGGACGGCGTACGAAGGATTTTTTCGCCCTTAAAAATCCACGGCTTCGATCGATTACTTCACACACTTTTGTTTAATACTTTGGTAGAAACAAATAAAAATCTGTAATTTGACTTATTGGCGATTTTAAAATTTCTAAATAAAACTGTATTTACATTTTAAAATACACCCTTTAACATATTTTTTATTTTTTTACTTTATTTACACATTTGCATCAAAATTGCAGTCATTTTGATTTCCAATAAATTCATCTAGAAGATTTAGTTTTCAGTAAATGTCAAAGAAAAGTGCATTCTTTAGTGTTGCTTGCACTGAAAAGCTTTGTTTTCTATGATTATTTCAGTAACAAATGTGTTTTTTTACTTGTTACTATGACAAAGTGACTGATTTAATAGGATTAACTTTGTAGATTTCTGAAAAATGACTACACATTTGCTCTGGTGGGAAGGTACACAAGGTAATAACGAATATATGGAACAAAAATGAAGACAGTATGATTCATGCTTCAGGATTTCAGCATAAAAGAACAGAAATAATAATTTAAAAATTTAGACTTGCTTCAAAATGCTGTAAATTACAAAACCCATACAAAAGATTTAAAACTGTGGGTATTTACTAAAATCAATCCCAACAAGCCATTTCTAAAATTTTACTCTACCAGATTGAATAGTTTCTGACATAATTGGTCAAATGTACAGCCAAATTAACATGGAAGTAATAGGTCTTTATGTCTCACCTTAAATGATAGCTCTTAGTTCACCTGTGCAATCTGCGAGAAGCTTCAGAACAAATCTCTCATGATGTTAGAGAATTCACGTAAGTCAAGAAAATAATTTTAGGTGATGCATAATAATAGAGGATAATTAAAAAATTATAAACTCACAAAAATTCTGGTACCAATTGTAGTAATACTTTAATTGCTATAATCATATTAAAACCTAAGAGACATTGCTAACATTAGATAATTACAGAAGTATGCATATAGTTTCTTTTATACATTGTTTTTTTCTTACAATGTCATACACAGTGATCAATAACAATGGACAGATATTAAATTAAATACATTATTCACAAGGCTACTTCAGACATATTTACAGAGAGCATTTCAACATCATTTCAGTTATTACCTCTGAAATGTCCTCTTGCAACAAACTTAAGGATAAAAAAATTAAACTGGATAGGAACTGAAGCAGACAGAAAACTGGTGAAGACCTTTCTCTTATTTGTATTAGCATTAACTTATTTTCTTATAAAAAGTAATAAAAAGCAGGTGCCCACAAAAACGTTTCAGCCTATCCTGCAGGCATTGAAAACCCTTTCAAGCTGGCACTGACTTATACAAAGAAAGCAAAATTACACTTTTTTTATTTACAAGAATAATATTTGGGCGCAGACATATGAACACAGGAATACAAACATTTAAAAAATTAAAATTGAAGCAGATCAATGAGGCGAGAAATATATTATAAAACATGAGCAAAACCCTGCTTCAATACTTTAATGTGTTTGTTGTTAAAGTAATAAGATTTCAGTTTAATCTTGTGTAGAAGAAGATTAGAGTGATATCTTATTACAGTCAAAAGTCAGTCTTATACAATGCTACTCAAACCTTCTATTTATGGTCCAAACCAACAGGGAAGCGGGTTCTCTGTCACAACCAACTTCTTGAGGCATAAACAATATGATCACAATACGCACTCACATTTGTTTATGATTATTCCTCATAAGTATCTATTACAACAAATTGCACTTGTCTCTTTGAACATAAATGGGATTACTATCTATGGATCTTTAATACATTATTAACCACACTAAGTACATCACACAAAAGTCATCAAAAATTTAGTAAAGTTCTTATCCAACTCATTAAAATGGGTAATTTGAAAGTTTGGTCTTTGCTGCATTGAGTGAAAAAATTATTAATAGAAGGTCAATGTGAATATTAATAATGTAATAGCACTTTCTGAGTAACAGTGAGTAAAATTCTATGGAACATAAATTAAAATCTTCCTAGACTTATTACTGAGAAACGAAACCTGTACAAGACATGGCAGGCTGCTACCTGGATACTTATGGAAGTAGATGCAATCAAGAGTCAAGAAACGTTTTTATCATTTAGAGGTCTTAAACACTTGAAGACGCTTGCGAAGTGATTCAATACCAGTTGCTGACACGTTGTCTCCAGCATGGCTCATGGTATTATGTGCCTGAGCTTGAAGCTGCAAAATTAGACAAACAGAAAATATATGAATTGTAACTTGTTATACTTTTATCTGAAATTAATTGCATAAGAAGAGTCAAAGAAAAGCCATCATAAGAAGTTTAATGTAATATCAAAGATTGCACAAGTTGCTGATTGTAAAATGATTGTTTTTGTTTCTTCTATTGGTATTATTATTATTATTATTATTATTATTATTATTATTATTATTATTATTATTATTATTGGTGATATTATTATTGTTATTGTTATTATTTTTTTATTATTATAATTTTATTATTATTATATTTTTTATTTTTAGCATACTATTTTGCTAAAGCCGAAATGCTTTGCGCAAAATTAGCGTTGAATGAAGACTTCCTTATTACTAGGGTGCGGATTTAATGAAATGTCATTTTTACTTTCCCGTATACGATTCCCGTATACACAGTAATATACATAGAATGGGGAAAGTTATGTTTTTCTGCGGAAAATCTATTTCGAAATTTTGACGGAAACTCACATTTTGGGGTCCCCTGATACCAAAAAAGGGTTACTTTTTCAACACGTATGTCTGACTGGTGTCTGAACACTACTGGCACGTAAACTATACATAAACTTTCCTCCAAATTGAAGAAAAATAAAAATAAAAATTAAAACAAACAAACAAACATGTACATCTGGCTCGAGACGAAGCATTAAGATTATGAAAAACATTCTTCAAAATTCGGAGGTACTTTACACGAAGCCCACCGGACATTTTCAAACTTTTCTCAAAAAATGGCTCTAAATAATTTTCTTTCATTTCTTATAAGAATAGAGTAACATACACTTATAAACATGGCACATGTATGATTTTCAAGGTTAACTCTGATGTTTCAAAAGAATTAATTTTTTTCAGTGTCTTCCTACAACTAGAAAATTAAAGATAGAGATTTTTGCTTCAAATAAAATGCGTTATCTATGTCTTTTGTTGAGGTCATGTACATTTTTTCAAAACTTTTAGCAGTCTTTGCACAATATGTGCAATTTTTAAAAAAATTACAAAAATAACTTTCTCAAAAACTGCTCCAAATTTTTATATAAACTTTTTACAGGGATAGTGCTCAATCTACTCTATATGATGACATAAATGCAATATTGCTCTACTGTTTCAATTTTTCAAAAATTAGAAATTTTTTTTGACTTGTCTCTTATGTCGTTAATTATTATTCTTATGTCGTTTTATATTAGCAGCAATTTCTTCACAATATTGTATTTATGAGAACGTGTACTTTCAATGTCAAAGTTTCTCGAAAACTACCTCAAAATTCTGAATTTTCACAAAACACTCCAAACATCATTCTTTTTTCAAAAACCGGTCCAAAAATTTTCTTCAAACATTTTGAATGGAATTGAACTAATCCCACTCTTTAATATGACAAAGTTTATTTCGGTGTGTTTTTTGTTTTTTCAAAAAATTACACAAATGTAATTTTTTTGAAAGATCTCTCACTCCGTTGTTTATGCACATTTCCAGCAATTTGTGAAGACTATTGTATTAGCGAGTTAAAGTACATAAATTACTTCAAATTAAGTTTTTTGAAAACTCAAAAAATCCCTATGAAAAAGGGCTTCAAATTTTTCAAAGAAAATTGCCATTTCAGACGAGGTTTTACCGTTTTCTAATGTTAAATTAATATTTCCGCTCTACAATTAGAAAACCGAAAAATTGAGAAAATGTTAAAAAGATGTACTTGAGACCAAAGGAAACAGAAAACTTAACATGGGAAAGTCTGTGCCATTAGTTTCTTTTCACTTTAGAGAAATGCCATGAGCATTGAAATTCATTTTATGGTATCACAAAAGGAAAGGAATTTTTTGAATTTTTCATCGATTTCAACAAATGAGCAATTTTTAATGCAGTTTTTGCTGATCAACGATTCTCCATAGATTTTAATACTTTATGGTACTTGTTTCAAATAATATTTACGAGATACAACAAATGTTCTCTTCTCCAGAATTCCTGAGTATCTATACCTGATAGCACAT